GGGGCTTAGTGTTTTTGATTAGAAATGCATTAATGTGGGACAACCGGCTTTTCCAGAAGAAAGGCATTTCTAACAGGAGAAGGCTGCTATTATTTATAAGAGCTGAGATCATCCCATTTTACTGATTCATTTAGACTGATGCCAACTATAGCAGAAAACAAGCATTTCTTCACAAAGAAATTATGAAATTACTGGAGACTTTGATCTAACATCACCCAAGTTTTCATCTACAGGGACTCACAGCACAAACGTCAGTCACTGGAAACATACTTTATAGCATATCTTATAACAGAGGAAAGGAGAGAGAAGCCTATTTGATCAAAATATTTGGAACCATGACCTAAAGCCAGCTTTGACAGAACTAACTTCGGGGTTTTTTTTAGTAATTTAGATTCTTGCATTAAGTATTTTCTAATAGAAAGTGAATAACTCATAAAGTAGCAAGATTCTAAACACTCATATCCCTTGGCTTCTTTCCCACCATTGTAAAATGTCTGTCCAAGGAGCTGTTTTTCAAAATTACACACACATAACTACATGCCCAAATAGATTGTACATTTATTTGCTTGTATTTGCAAATATTTGATCTTGCTTTGTACTACCAGATTTGGCATACAGTATTTGCAGTTAAAAAATCTTCCCTTAGGCCTGTAAGACTATCCCAGTTGAAGAAAAAGAATCAAAGAACAATTGCCCTCAAGTCATATCATGTGACGATTAAATATGAAATACATATAACACCAATAAAAGAAAAGCACAGAAAGTGGATTAACAGGATACTCCACTCCATACAGTTTAACTGAAAGATGATTAATCAGGACAGTAGCTGAAAGTTGCTGTTACAAGTCATGGAAGGGTTATAATAATGGCCAAGACAAAAAGGCTATATTCTCAGAGCAGCCTGCTCTATAAGACACCATGTTACCATAGTCTGATAAAGAAATGTGAAATATAAAGTGTCAAATAGAAGAAAATGCAATCAGTTCACTGAGCCTACACTGAAGAATTAAAGAAGGCAATAGCCTTGAGGAATGAAAGCACCTCTGATCTTTCGCACAGCATGGGCTGCTGGTGCTCCCCTTGTCAAACAGTAAATAATCAAAATCAATGGGAGGCATAAGAAGTTGAAAAAAACTCAAAGGAAAAATAATTTTCCAGATATGCCAACAATAAGACTCATTACCATGTTATATAATTTTGATTTTAGCAAAATGCAGAAGGCAGAGACAGGGACTAACTTTTGTACTCTGTATTTCACTGATATCTGTGAGGTTTTGTGGTATTCTGGGTTCAGTATATTCTTCTGACTGATCATTTGAGTAGAACTCAGCTGCAGCCGTGGAGGGAAACAAGTCCAACAACCCCCCAGAGAGTCAGGCTTAGGCAAAGGTATGCAGAGCACCAGAATCGATACTAATACTAAGGGACTAAACACAGCTAGGCAACTTGAAGGCCAAACTCTGTCACAGATCAAAATGATGGATAAATTTCTGGTATATAAAACCAATGCAGCAGTATATTTCCTGTTCTCCCTACTCTAATGGGAATAAGGAAGCCCTTTTCAGTCGTTTAGAGTCCCTCCCCCAGACCACCTTCTGCCATCCACATTCACAAGAAATGTTTGGAAGAAAGAAACAGTAGTCATGAATACCACAGCAACACCTGAGAGATCACAACTGTGATGAAGTCCCAGTCTTCTGAATAAGACACAGACACATTGGACATAGCAGACAGCAGTAAAAAGACAGGTAATGATCTCTGTTCATGTTAAGGGGATTATTTCTCCACCTTGCTTTTCTCTGTCTGGATTCGGGTAGGAAAAAATTCAAGCAAATTGTTTGAAAGTCGTATGATCTTCATATTCATCTGTTAATTATCAGCCCTATTCTGCACTGGTATAGTGCTTCTGTATGCCAGTTTGATGGTCTGGGTTAGAGCACCATACACTGACATGAAATTCAGGAGTACCTCTGGGATTTATGATCCCTGAAGTCAGCAAAAGCTTATAGCACCACAGAGATGATAATGGCTGTCAGTCTCTCAAGGGAAAGGCTCTGCTCATGTTGCTTTTGAAATAAATGATGGAATAGCATTAGAATCATCCTCATTGATATAGGCTGACAGTTACCTTTATTGTCTAGAGTTAGAACTGCATCAGATACAGTACACAGTACTGTAAAATAGCACAGTTTGATTCTGCATAGTGAGCCACTCGTTATGTCAGGCAGTCTTACAGAGAGAATAAGAGTAATGGAACAAAGGGAGAAACTGGCAAAACAAAGGAGTTTCTTCCAGAATGGTTGGGTGGATCCTCTACAGCCGGGTGACGCTCTCATACTATCAGATCTTACTGGAAGACAAGTCACTTGACTGGGCCCACATCTGTAGTCAGTATATCATTTACTAATAATCCTAGCATTGCTGCAGTTGTCTTTAACTGAATATAGCAGCCTGTTCAAGCAAATAAATTAGGAGGCAGTGTTCGTTAGTAAATCTGTAAGATAACTAAGCCTAATCCAGAACACCTAAATTAGGAAGTCACTTCTCCACTGTCTACTTAGAGTGCATAGCTCCTGAAATAGGCATCTAGAAAGGGTTCTGAATATTCCTTGATATTCTCAAAGGGAAAGACCTTAGCATACTAAATGTGGTATTGGTGCTAGGATCATGCTGCCAGCTGGGAAAAATATAGCTGTGTCTCCATGTTTAATAACATCTACATTTTTGACATATCAGCTGAGCCCCTGGGTCACTTCAGAGAAGCTAATTATAATTACCTCTTCCTCTTACTAATAGTGCCACAGAAAGAGTAATGACCACACTTGTTCAGTGTATCTGGCCTACGGCCTGTTTGAGAAACAAGACGTTCAGTGTCACAGGCAGCACACTTCCTTCAGCCTTGTGTGCTCCTCTGAACTTCTGACATGCAAGTATTGGCGTTTCTTACCTGGTGCAATGTGAAGCAGTTTTTGAGGGCCATAAGTTCTACTACTGCTTCCAGGGGCAGGCAAATACAATAATCTGTCTTCCCAGGATATGGGACCAGAGTCTAAATTATATCTAACTTCTCAGTGTAATTTACAGCATTTTCTTCAAAAGGGACCAGGCATTTTCAGTAGGTGCCAGATAAAAAAAAAAACAATGGTGTTTCAAACCACTAGAAAGCCTGTAGACTGTATTTTCAAAAGACCAGCATAAATATATAGTTTATAATTGTCTTTTCACATACTGTATATGGACTTTCATGACTTCTCCCACAGTGTTTCAGAGGTTGTTACAAATGCCAACACAGAAGGGAAGTGGGTGTTTGGTATCTAACTAATGTCAGCATTTACTAACCTGAAGATCTCTTCTTACATCTATCTAATAAACTGGTTTGTCAGTAGATAATATGAAATTCCATCTGACACATTTGAAAACTAAGTGCCAGACTCAGCGTATGTTTTCATTTCAGTACACAAGGCTTTGTACTTGGAGCTTCTATTAGCTTCAGTAACAGCATCGATGCTGTTACCTTTAAATATCAGAAGTAGCAAGCCCCTTGGTGAAAGCAGCTAAGACTTGTACAGGTCCCTGTGTAAAATAACTTTTAAAATAATCTTTTCAGAACTGTCTGCCTGATTTTTCTTGCAAACACAAAAGGGCTCAGAAACTACCAAAGGTCTGATGGACATATCAGTGGTGGGTGGAATTTGATTTTGTTCATCCTTTCAAAAGTGCCTCTGAGGTTTGTAAACATTCACTGTGGTACTAAGGTTTTGAGAAAGTAGTTATACAGAAAATTTGAATGATTAATGACCCAAGACATTTTAACATGTTATTTCGCTATTTTCAACATAAATAGTGTGTAAAGGGTGTTTAAAACTTTAATGAATCGAACTATATGAGTAAATAATGTTAATCATTTTAATTGCCCAGTAGTCTGAAATTAGATTTAACAGTCTGATAATGTATCTTTAAAGTAATACAACCCTGCTCTATAAAAAAAATCTCTTCTGAGCCAATTCTAATAATTTCTATTTATCTTTTATGACAGTAACTGTTATACCAGTCTGCCGACAGACAGCCTTACGCTCACATTTAGTTTAAATGTGGTGCAGTATAGTTTTTCATTATCATTAACGTGCTCCTGGTGGGCAGAGTGCAATGCAGTGGCACTGGTCACACTTCATTGCTTTATCTGATATGACAAAGAGAGATGATGTGCTTCAGTCCGGGCCAGAAGATGAAAGCAAAAGGTGGCCATGGAAAACTCCCCCTGCTGCCTAGGAACAGCATAAGGGCTGCATCGAGTGACTTGCTAACAGCACGAAGGAGCAGACAAATAGATTTTCCTCTATATTTATAACCAGCATCATTCTTCCTTTCAGGCCTTTCAGTGCAGGTAGCTGTTTTATATGAAATGAACAATCTTTATAGACGTACCAGAGCCATAACAAGGCTGATTTTCAGCGAGGCTGAGGTATATAACTCTTACAGAATTGTCAGGCTTCTTGCTCAACAAATCAAGCCTAACTTATGATGTTTGCAGTGTAATTTTTATTCCTGTTTGACTAGCCAACTACCCAGTGGTAATAGGATGTTAGAAAAGGGCAGTAGCAATGTTTGTACATGCCATGATTGATAGGCAAACTCTGCATTTTTCATTTATATCTCCTGATTCCAAATCAGTTAAGTTTAGGAAAAATGAAACAAAATGGCAAGAAAAATGCTTGCAGATTGCAGCCCAGCACTCTCGTAGATCTGAGTTCAGCCCACATCTGCTAGGATTGTCTGGAAACATTAAGATATCTAAATGAAAATCAATACTATATGTGCCAGCATTTACTACCAAGAACAAGTATCAAGAGACCTGGCTTTCAAGCTTGTAGTTGAGCCATAGTCTGAACCCCAGGGGTTTCCTAATTGGCCCAGACTAATCATAGAAGAGTTAAATTTTTAACCAGGAAAGACATCTTGTTTTTCTTACCAGTCATCATTTTGAAACTGAAAGCCTCACCTGTGCAGTAGCAGATGTATGGTGATAGCCACCGGTCATGCAAGAACTGCTTCTCACCTGTCAAAGGTAAAGGAAAGACTAATTTACTGCCTTCCATAAAACCAGTCAGGCACATTTAAGCTTTTGGTGGGTATATAGTGCTATCAAACCTTTCACATGAACTGCATATTTTCTCAACTTAAAAGCTCTGCATTTAACCCTCCTTTGCTAGAAGACAGAAGGTTTATACTTTAAAGACCCTCTGCACAATGTGGTCTCGTAACCTAATTTTTTTGTGTCTGCTACACAAATATATTTCCAAATCAAACACTGCTGGTGGAACTTTGTTTTCTTTTTCTTCTGCAGTGAATGCAGATGTGCAAAGAAACTAACACACAGTAGTTCAGTTCACAAGGTATAAAGACATTCACACGTTTTATTTTCCCTATACTAAAATAAAATTCCTTATTCTAGAAAAAAAGTGTGCATGATATCTCTTGGAATACTGTTAAAAATTATACTGCATGAGGGGATTGGGTTCCTAATATTTGTATTTGGGATGCCAAATGTGAGCAGATTTTATACTATTTTCAACAAATTAAACACAAATATGTAAAATGTTTATAAGACTCAGTCTTCTATTTTGGGCTTATTTTGAGTAACTTAGTAATTCTGCATAGATTTTTTTAAACAGAACAAAATAAAATGATGAATTAAGCTTGGAAATGCAAAATCTAATTCTTTTTTTCAGCTTTCTTCAATAGCATATGTAAACATCCCCAGAGATTCACATCTACAAGAAATTTAATGACATTATTAAGATTCTTTCTGTCCTATATGTTAGATGTATTTTTAATGTGTACCTCTTAAAACAAAACAAAAAGTTGTCAGACACTGTATTCTCTTCTCACCTCTGTTAATGCATTGTTTGCTAGACAGTGCTATCATGGAAACATCAGGGCATGTTGTGATCAATGAAAGCCTGCTTCTCACATGGCATGATGTTTCCCTTGGATTCTCATCTCCGACTCTTGCCTGCTGTGAAATTTTGTCAGTTCTTTTACCTTCAAGGATCTCCCTTGTCCTCCATGTTGTAAACTACTGAGTTATCTTCTTGAATTAATCTTCCCGTCTTTGCCGCTTCACCTCCCACTTCGTATGGAACAAGAAGGCTATCTTCGTCTTCCCCTTCAGTCACTATGTCTGATAATTTATTGCTCTCACACTGTAGAACAGAACAAGCTAATGAACAAAATAAGTAGATAGAGAATTTCAGCAAAATCCACACAAATCCACTGAGAGGCAGAAGGACAAGTAGAAGTCTCTCCAAAATGATTCGATTATCTGAGTTTTTATTTCTAGCCTGGATATTACATATGCCAGTCAGCAGGAAAGTACCAAAAGCATCCTAATCATCAGTACACAAAATTAAGTTCAAAGATACTTTCTTTCTTTGCTGAACCTCATTTTTTTTCTCCCTTTAACAATAATTTAAATATAAATCAAAACTACTTACTACTTTGTATGTGCAGAACTCTATTGGTACAAACTTGATTACTCAAAACAAGACTTCATTATCCCCACTTTGTTCTGCAGCTGCCCCACTTCATTACCATTGGAGGATTTTTTATTTTTAAATTAATGCTTTTCTGAACTAAAAATAATTAAAGTGCAGTAACATTTTCCCTTCTGCTACTCATGTCAGAATGGCAGTGGCTTCTGGCAAAGAGATGCTATGGGAGGAACTGAGGTGCTAAATGTGTTAGACCTCTTTAGCAATCTCAATTCTAGCAACCATAGCAATCTAAATTCTAGCAACCACTGTCTTAATCTTGTCAAAATGGTTTTGTTCTTGTTATCCTTTGAAATCTGCTGCACTCATGTGCTACCTGTACCCTTATTCCAGATGTGAAGAAAGATATTTCAGCACCAGGAATCCATAGCAAAAACCATCCTATCTCCCCTAACCTCAGTTAAAATCCTGGCCCCAACAAAACCAACAGTGAAAAACAAACTGATTTCAGTGGAATCAGGATTTTATTACACATACTTCATGATGGTGCTCTGATTTGAGCCCTCATATAAAAGGTAGGTGTAAAGAACCATCGTTGCACACATCCATGATGAACTGGGCAGAATAGCTAGCTCCACTACGCTATTGCCAGTGGAGCTCCATGTCATCCAGAGACAGAGAGATAGAAAGACAAATTTAGCTATTCACAGTGAAAAAAAAAGCAAGACCAAATATCTCTGGATACCTGCAGCATTACAATAAGGCAGAATAGTCAATTATTAATGATGTTCAAGTGTCTTTTACCCCCAGTTTTGCAGCTTTCTTGGGATAACTAGTAAAGCCATGCAGTATGATTTAGAATCATAGAATCACAGAATAGTTAGGGTTGGAAAGGACCTTAAGATCATCTAGTTCCACCCCCCCTGCCATGAGCAGGTAAACCATGTCACCTATTTGTACCCATTGCATAAAAAGTGCACATGGGTGAACTTTTTATGCACCTATTTGGTGCATAAAGAGTAGACCACAACTGCTCAAAAGCAATGAAGACCACTCCCTTTTCAGCAGCCTCTGTAACTCTATGGAGAGTAATAAGCTCCAGGAGATGGAGGTCTCCATTATACAAGAGAAGCTCTGTACCAACCCTGCTGAAATAAAAGTCTTCTATGCATAGTGAAAAAGGGTATACAAGTTCTCTGCAGAGCTGAGAGCAAGCTCCAAGTCACCTCAAACTCTCATTGAAAAGATGATTGATTCTGCTCTGTTTTGCTTCTTCCAGCAAAACATTGCAGGATATTTTCTCTGCTGCTTGCCTCCAAGTTTACTGTATTTGTTTGCCAAGTCCTGCAGTTGTCAGATGAACATGAACTCCCCCCAATGGTACACACCTATTTTCCTTGTGATGTAAATGCTCCTTTTCACTATAAATACAAATCACAAAAGCACATATAATTCTACTTATTTTCATATCATACTGAATGAAACAACTTAAAGCTTATGCCAAATTAACAATCTTTTCTTGGCAACTTCACACTGGGATTCTATGCCAACTTCTGTTTAACAAGCAATGTTATTAACATAGAAAATAAGTTTTTTTGCTTCTGCTTTGATTTGCCTACTTGAATTATCTGGTGCAATGAATTTTCCTGTGTATATACATACCTAGAAATGTAACAAGGGCACAATAGTTGTTTATTTCCGTAAGAATTGCTACCACACTCAAGTTCTAGACAGTTTAGAGGGGAGTTTTAGTGTGGGTTGTATTTTGTTGTTGTTTGATTTGTTTGGGTTTTTTTAATATATTAAAACTAATATTCAAAATAGGGCTTCAAGGCACAAGTTTCATACCATCCTGTAGACTGCACTATCACACACTCCAAGAACTGGATTTTCTGTGAAGATCTTGCCTTTCAGTGCTACTCAGGAAGCAGAAATGAAATAGATTTAACTAGCCAACAGATTATTCCCCTGGCACAGGGAATGCACTGCTGCTAATGTGCCAGCTTTCCTCCTGCCACCCACCATCTCAGCATATGGGGTTTGTCAGGAGTAAAAAAGCAGCAGAACAGTGCATCACTATTTCTTCTCCCCTGTACAGCTCAGTTAAGTTACCAACACTACTGGCAGCTCTTGGAATTGTCTGTCAGCAATGCAAAGACTGTAAGGTCAGGGATGAGCACAGGAAGGGAATGACGCTCCCTCTTCCCTCTGGGTTGAGCTTCAGCCCTGGAGTCTAACTATCCTCAGTAGTTTTAAAGGCTGTTTTGTGCAGTATGCACCCAAAACTAACATATAAATGTTTATGCTGCTCATGGTGGAGCGTACAACCAAATCACAAGTGATCTGACACCTTCTGCTTATCATTTTTCTCCAGTGCTGTTGCAACTCAGTTCAATTCTTTCTAACACCCTTTTCTTACTATTTCTGATAAAGCAGAATCCTTAAACATTCTGTATATATTTGGGGGTCTTGAGCTGTACAGATGGGCTGTTTCTTTGGAATTAAGTAAGATCAGTCCCTTGTTTCTCTCCCTGTATATATAAGACGTCTTCTGAAGTTGCTCTTTATACTTGTTTTCTACAGTCCAGCAAGATTAAACATAGAGCACATATTGTGGAGGCTCCACAGTTGAGCTCAGTGATGGAAAGCTGCTTTGTATCACTGTTTGAACTCTTTCAACAGCCCAGATTTCAACTGGTATTTAGAGAAGGGAGCATTCAGAACACCTCTCAGAAGTAACAACACTTCTACTGCTTGTTTGCTTGAATTCAATGCATTTTGGGCATAGAAAAAATTATTTATGGGTTACTAATGTATTCAGTAATGAAAGGTGTATTATATCTGAAAGATTACCAAAATGCAGTCCCCAAAATAAAAACAAGCATAAAACAGAGGCTACATTCTGCTATTCTTTGCTGAAACCTATATTATTTTCAGTTCATATTGTCCTGAAAAGTAAGGTATCCTACTTGGCCATGCAAAAAGCGGACTCCCAAAAAGCTCTCAATAAAAGCCTTTGCCTTGCTCCATTCCTGAAGGCAAGGAAGACATTGTCTTTCACAGCTTCTGGGCAGCTGAAATGCATTATTAAAGAACAGATACTAAAGTTACCTTGATGATTCTGCAAAAAGGACATGATATAACATAAAAAGGATAGCATACTTTAATATCATCTTTAGGTTTCAGAATTAACAATTCATTAATTAAGTTTAAATGAGGTAAGTCTCTTTCCCTTTTACCTTGATGATCCAGGAGTAATCTGAATTTGAAACATTACCATACCAAAAATACAGGCAAAAATACTAGACAATTTTAAATGAATCTAAGATTTTACGGGAGTTGATGGCATATAAAAATAATAGTTCCCTAACTGCAGCTTTGAAAACTGACTTCTGGGGGAAAGAAAGCTCTTTGTACTTGTTCTTTCCTTTAAGGCTTTAGATAAGGAATGCAAATAGCACTTTTTGTAATAATCTAGAAAATTAATGTTGGCTATCAGAATAATTTTGTATGGGATAGTAAATTGAAAATAACTGAATGTCAAGAAGTGACTGCAAAGTGACAAATTTGCAATGATAATACCAATTCCCTAAATATTCATTTAACACTTTCATAAGAACCAACAACTTTAATAAAGTGAATTTTTATCTGGATATTAGTTGGCATGTTGTGGTTTTATTCCATTTCATCGAATTTGCTTGAGCCTAAATATTACTTCAAGATATTTTTTTGTGTGTGTTTACTTCTCAAAACTTCTTAAAAAAAACTTTATTCTTTGTCTTATACCTTAAAAATTGTACCTTTGTCATTGGTTATGCACACGCTTTGCACCAATAACTTAATCTTTTCAAACAATCCTCAGGCAGCTGAACTTTGCAAGTATCCAGCATTTCTGAAAATCAAATGCTTTCTTCTCTAGGCAATGCTTATATGATGTTACATCAATCTAATTTGCACAGCCTAATCATACTGATTTAGCTACTTATATATCAAACTAAAGTGCAGCCACACCATTTTACAGTGCCAGTAGAAGGTACTTCTGCTGTTAATCATTGAACAGCACAGTACTTGGTTTGAAAAAACACTTGGTACACAGCCCATGGTGCAGCATTCCCTTCCTGAGCCCTGTCCTCCCCATCCCTGCTACCTGTTCAAGCATACTGCTCACAGATTGCCTGCCCTGGTGTGGGTAACTAACATCTTTCATAATTTTCAAGATAAGTAGTGGCATCACTTGCAGAAATTTTTCTTTAAGGACAGCAGATAGAACAAGCAATGTGAACACCTGGTTTTAGGTATTTCCATCGTGTCTTCTTTATGTTGACACACTAGCAAATCCAAGAACATCTTCCCTTCCTCATTTGATCATTCCAGTTTTTTAATAGTGAACCACAAAGAGTTGCAAAGAAGGAAAGATCTTTGAATGGTTCATGCAAATCCAAGAAACCTGCACAAAGTTCTGCCTCTTAAATTTAAAAATTTAAAAACTAACAAAAAAACAAACCTTCTCACCCCTAAGCATCACAGGAAGATATATAGGGAGAAAGGCAGAAGTGAAGTAAGGATGCTAACCAGCAGTTCAAAGAGTGGCAAAAAGAAGCTAAAAGGAATGAGTGAATCAGAATAATGTATTTACTCCACTTCCAAGGAAGGTTACCTCACAGTCACCTAAGATGCCTTTTAAGAGAAATCCTAATGTTATATCTCTTTGCAGGGAAGGTAGAATATT